TGGATCCTGGCTGGGTGGCCACGAAAGCCAGAACCACGGTGACGGTTTTTGCCAACACTGAAGAAACAGCCACTGCAAAGATGATGCCAAAAGCCGTTTGTTGCAGGAGACACACCACTTTCTCAGGATGACCGATGAACAGGAATGCAGAAAGGAAGCAGAGGAGGAGGGAGATGAGGAGAATGTAAGTAAGATCTCGGTTGTTGGCCACAACGATGGGAGTGTTGTGGTTCTTGACAAATATTCCAAGCACCATCACTGAGAACAAAGAAAAGAAAAGAGCAAAGAAGGCTAAACTGATCCCCAAAGGTTCTTCATAGGATAAAAATGTCACAATTTTCGGTATACAGAAATTGTGATCCTTGTTTGGATAGCTTCCTTCTGTACATGTGTAACATTCATTACTATCTGAAAAATGAAATGCATTAACATTTTTAGCAATATCATGAAAAAACAGAATGCACATTTCAATACTATCCTGATCCTATGGAATATTTTGATTCCTAACCTTAGAAATCATGCAAAACTTCAACTGGAAATTTGAACAGTATCCTGTCATCATTTTTTCCTATACAAACTGCTTTTAATCTAATTACACACTGAGCTTTCCTATTGACCTTGTGAGATGTGGCCAGGCGCAATTTTCAGATTCTTAATGGAAAACCAGAAAAGATCATGCAGTCCTCATAAATATGTATAGTGTTCCTATATCCCTACCTAGGTTTTTTACTCTTCAGAAGCTTGTCTTAGCCCCTATCTGAGAATGCTTTCAGGCTCACTCAAAGTCCTGGGCAAAGCAACCATTGGTGTGAAGCAATTTGTATTTCATTCTTTCTCTAGATTAGCTTGACTTTGGTTGGTAATCCAAACAGCATATTTTTACCTTCCTTCTCGGAAATCTTCCCATCTGGACACACGATGCAGTTGTAGCAGCAAAAGGGTTCCCCTTCTTTCACTTTCTTGCTTGAACCAGGGTGGCAACATTCAGAACATGCTGAACAAGGCTGGGACTAAAGAAGAAAATTTAAAAAAGAGCCAGTTTGGTCTAGTGGTGAAGGCATCAGGCTAGAAAGCAGGAGACTGAGTTCTACTCCTACCTTATGCATGAAAGCCGGCTGGGTGACTTTGGGCCAGTCACTCTCTCTCAGCCCAACTCACCTGATAGGGATGTTGTGGTGGGGAAAAGAGGAGGAGGAAGGAGTATTAGGTATATTTCCCTCCTTGACTTAATCATAAAAATAATAAATGCAGGATAAAAAAACAAGCAAAAGGAAAATACCCCTCTTGCGCGTAATAACATTAGAGATTCTGAAAAATTAATTTAATGTGAATGTGATTCATAGGAAGTTATTAATCAGCTTTAGGATATTGATATCTTTATAATGAACATGGTACATAGGAATTAAGAATGCTGTCATCTCCTTATGAAGAAGACTGGTAGTAGACCAGGAAGCAGGAGCTCGCTCTGCTGCGCGGAGCTGGGCTTGAACCGCTGAAGTGTCAACCATTTCTGGGTTAGGGTTAGGTAACTTTCAGCATCATTAAGCCACTGCACCACCGCGTCCCCCTTATAATGAACATGGTACATAGAAATTAAGAATGCTGTCATCTCCTTATTAAGAAGATTGGTCAACTAACTTATTATTAGTTGCACCAACAGACATCGTGTCACTGCTCTCACCTCAGCCTCCAGTTATTCAACTGAGGACTGTGTCGAATAAAAACAGGAAATCATCTCAGTGGATCAACTGATGAGAAATGGCGATACCCCCATAAATAATATTGAAATCTGGATTGTAGATGGACATAGGTTGATGGCAGAATTAATGCTATGATCTACCCAGTTCTTTTCACCTTTCAAGTAAGACTTTTTGGGATTTTTTTTAAAAATTATGGATTCTTTAAGTCACCAGAAGGAATGCATTAAAGAGGAAGGTCTAATGTTTTATATGAAAAGAACTTTAGGTTAGCATTATGTTATACATAATGAATTAACAAGTAGAACTAGAGCAAAAACCTATGGCCCCATTTTCTTGCATTAATTAACATGTTCTTCCAGAAATCAGATCTCAATATTTGGTTTACTCCTGCTTATCACTACTCAGTGAAATGTGTTTTATAGATTTGGCCAAAATAACAATGAACTGGAAACTAGATTTTTCACAGATTCCTACAGCTGGGATCTTACCAGGTTAAACCAGCTATGCCAGGTTATGGCATTGTCACTGATTGTGAGCATTTGGTCTGGAGAAGCTTCAGGGTCCAACCTCCCAACTCTTTTCCTAATGACAGATTGGTTAGAAGAAACAATCCAGTTCAATACATCATATCCAGCTAGTAATTCTCCATTGTGGTCAAGTGACACTTTGTCCCCAGCACTGTTGTTAAATGAAAAACCTCTCAAGAAATGATGGAGCTACATAAGAAATGGGGTGGTGGGAGGGAGGGTGGGAGGGAGGGAGAGAGAGAGAATGAGAAAGAAAGATTAAAAAACAGGAACTGGATATATCTTTAGGAAAAGCCTAAGACGAGGTATAGTGGATGTCATGGCCTGTTGAAAACATGC